CGAGATGTACGTCCCGTTAATTTCCTCGAGGCTAGCGCTCATAAACCTTGGTAGAAAGTACGATCAAGTGTGCGGATTAATATCCTCGATTAACGTTTGTCGATGACGAGCCGGGGAAAAGATCGCGAGGTGTAATTTTCTTCGAGGTAAGGAAGTCTGACATTTACGATACGTCGGTGTTCGAATTCCTCCCTCTGTCGCATCGTTTTCGAAGCGTGCATCCAGCGAGGTCGTTACATGGCCGCGTTGCGTCGATCTCGGATCGATTCACCATAATTTCAAGCGAAATCGATCCTCCCGCATCAACGCGTCAACAAAGCGCACTCTCGGCCTCGGTGAACTTTTTCGAACGCGTTTTCCCCTGGACAACACAGCTGCCGCACGCGCCTGCACGCGCCGGCTGAACCAAGCGGACAGACACGTTAAATGCCACTGCACCTTCGCTGCATTGCGTATCGGCCTCGCAGGTAATAAGCTTCGGCCGCGTTTGCGCCTGGAAATTGCATCCCGTTTCGTGCGTCGCGAATATTCACCTGGGTCTGTCATTGGGTCGTTGAAAGTCGTAGAAAGCGCACTGTCCGCCTCAAACGGTTCAGCTTTCGAAGGAAAAACTCGAGAGGCCTGATAAAAGTTAGAGTGCCGTCTAGAAACTAATTATTAAATGGGTATTGAAGTGATCTACGATAAGATCGCGCGATGCTCGATCAGTCCCTCCGAGTTAGGCGTTCTACGTCTCATTCCTTGTTTTCCTCGCGCTGGGAGAATAAGAGTTCGATTCTATCGCAAAGGTAGCAAGCGATAACGAGAGTTAAATATCGGAACGCGGTACGAAATTTATCGGCGATCTATAGATCCGCAATGGAGAATATTTTAATTAGGGAACGTGGCGAGATACCCTTGCAGGCGTTTCCTCGGGTATTTCTGCATGTAAGCGAGATTTAAAGATTATTAGAACGTAGAGATTAAAGGAACAATGCAGGTCAGCTTGCAAAATTTGTACAATTTTCGTGGTTTACGTATACAGTAAGCCAGATAAGTAACTTTCCAATTGAGAAACACGGTCTGTGATAAAACGGGTGTCCAAGTGAGAAAAAGTAATGGTCGACGATACGGAGATAAGTGTAAGAAACATTTTAATTACAGGAAGAAAAAATATATCGATGATATAATATAACATCATTTCGTTCCCTGTGTATTTGAACTTTACAATCAACAATTTTCTCTTTATCGCGTTTGCTGCCGGATCACTCAGATAGGGAGAAGATAACTTTAAGTTATCTAAAGCGTATAGTTCTCGAGAGGATCTTGATAAGTATTAAAATACGATTCGCGAAATAAAAAGTTTGCTATAAAATTTCGCAATTCACGGGACAAGAATGTATCCTTATTGCGACAGCGGACTATGAAACATCACTCCATTTTCTTTACTGCTCGCCGTCCATTTTCATTATCAGGAAACGTAGTAAATACGGTACAACTCTGTACATATAATTTTTTATCAAATTTCACGACAACGAATCGTGACAAACAACGATATTTTCACACGAATACAGACTGATGTTGGAACATATATATTTATACTCTCACGACACGCGTAAAGATTTCGTTGAAAAAGAAAAACGACAGGAATGGGGAAAAATAATTTTTCAGGAAATGGGAAATTACAATTGCTAGCTGTTTGAAGAAATCTAAAAGTTGTCGAACCAAACACCTACCGTTCACCCTTTATAATTAGAATTAGTTTTAATTCCCAATGGAAAATATTACAAATCATAAATAAAATAATCGACAACAATTTTCCTACCCCGATTCGAATGTAAAAGTTAATAATCGTAATATAAGATGCTTAAAGGTTATAACAGTCGACTGACAAGTAAATGGAATAAAATTTACGGAATAAAGTAACACGGACAATAAATTATCGCGTAGTGTCACGGAGAGTCAACTATACCGAAAAATATCGCCTAATTGTCAGTTAGGCGTTAAGGCTGATGCGTCGTGCGTCGCGCAAGGCTGTTTGAAATATTAGCGCCGGTTCGATCATGTAGCCTCGCACGGCAAACAAAATTACATTGCGATAAGATAAAAACACAGCTGTAAGTTTCGAAAGCGCGGTAAATACGTCACCGATCGATCGGGCCGATGGAAATTTTTACGGGCGTCGAACCGGTGCACCCTGGGTGGGAAACAATATTGACCCGCGCGCTGCATCGCCCGATGGAAACAGCGTTTCGCGTGGCCGTTGTAAATCAACGTAATAAAATCGGCACGACGGCCGAATCGTAACCAAGCGGACGCCGTTCTGCGGCATTGACACGCGCGGAGAGATTCGATCGGTCGTTGTTCGATTAATTAATTAATCGACGCTGGCTGCGCGTGAATCACGAGGTCGCGGCGGTGGCGGCGGCTCGCGATTTGTTTTTTTGCGCGTGCAGAATTTCGTCAAAAATGGAAGCCCGGCATGGAAGAGAGAAAAAAAAGAGTGGAAAATGGTGGGGACAGCAAAACACCGGCCGGCGGTAATAACGTAAACGAGCGTCGTAAATTTGATAAGAGCCATAATCGTGGGGCACGGTCGCCGCTCGCGCAAACGGAACGCGAACGTGTTCCTCGAGTTTGCCGTTTCGAGATTATCGACCGGTCAGATAGCGAGGAAGAACGAGTGAAATCGTTTTCCCCGAGATCTACCGTTATCTAAGAGTGTATTTATGCATCTGGATGGTCCCGGCGATGATAGTCGCGAAGAGCATCCTCGCGGTGGCGCTGGTAGCAGGAACGGGTCCAATGGCGTCGAGTAATTTCGGTCATCGAGAGATGCACGAATGACAGGACTTTCTCAGGGGCATCGATTCATCGCGACGATCGAGTTGACGTGATCGGTAATCCGTCAACTTTCGTTGCATGTGAACGCATCGGCGCCATATGTTAGCGTGCACGAGCCGTTGCTCTATTCCCGCAAAAATCGACTAATAAAAAGGCAACTCGTCGACCTTCGATATAGTCTATGCCTCCGTGGCGACTGGCTCTGTCGGTCTTTTTCTCCCTCTCTCCCTCTCGCTCTCGCTTTTCCCTCTGTCTTCTCTCCAGCGCCATTCTCTCCTTCTTGCTCTCCTGCTTCGACACGGCTCACCTGTCTCTCTCCGTCTCTCCCTCGCCGCCCGTCGTTCCTCCCTCTTTCTCTTGCCTTTCTGTTTCTACGGGCCGTGTGCTTCGCCGGTGTGCACCGTTGCCAACTTTCACGTATCATAATACACAGTGAAAGAATGTGGTTTCCCTTTCAAATTACAAAATACGGTGCGAGCGCACATTGCGCGCTGCACACTTCCTTCGGCTGCTCGCTATTTTCTTTCTTACCTCGATTTCGTCCGGGCTCGACCTCGTCGATCCTCCAACGCTCCGCTTCATCCGGAAATCTACGCTCGGCTTATACGTGTGCTCCAACTATGCCGACGATTCCATCGTCTCGTTGCCTCGTTGCAGCTCCTCCGTATCTACGGTGTACACGAACAATGAGTCTTGCGCGATTCCCAGCAGTGTTAAAACTTATCCATGTTTACAGTGTCGGCTAGTGCCTATGAAGTTTCACCGAGTACTTACGAGCACGATATTGTCCGACAAAACCAGATTTCTTGTATAATCCTTGGGTCTCATTGATGTAATGGCAGCTTAAACTCTGGCCAACAAGCGATTCGGTATTACATGATTCCAGCGTGGTTAATCCCCTCGCATTACGATATCGAATCGCAGTCCTGGTACGGATTACGGTTCCGATTCAACGAAAGGTGTGTTTGCAACGAAGTTAAAACTCCAACTTCAGTTTCAATAGCCCGAGACCGAGGATTACCGAGTACAAATTACGTGTATACGTTTCGATATCTTATGCACAACCGACGCCATATTACCAGAGGTAAACAGAACTGATTTACCTACCGATCCAAACCGATGGACTCAAAATATCCCTCAATCGCGCGGTATTTAACGATAAATCAAAATGGCGTCCGTATTTTCTCTTGTCTGCAAAAGCGTGTCTAGCAACGAACCTCGAGCAACTTCTTAATCGTTCGCCGTTTGTCGTTCTTCCATGAATTATTTCCGTGTAAATTGTCCACGTTACTCTGTCAAGGCGCAACACTTGCGAAGCGCCGTCGGTAATTGTACCGACGAGTTCTTTCTCCGTCTTTCCCTCGATTGAGGTCGCTAAATCGCTCGTTCAATCGACGAGCCCGGTTTCGCCTTCTCCAAGGATACAGGGCGACCGGTGCAACACCTGAGACTGAAGCCTTGATTAAGATATTACGTTGCCACGCATGGTCCACACGATCGGGCGCTCAATTTTACTGCTAAAGACAGACTTGACCCAGATATTCTGTAAAAACCAGTAGGCACGTCCGTTCTAATTGCGAATATCGATTCGACGGGACTCCTTGCTGCCGCGCCACCGCCGCCATTGCCGCCGACACCGCCGCCGCCGGCCACGATTTGTATCATCTTTCGACGGCGATTCGCTTCAACAGGATGACGGCCGCGCGAACAATAAAAGCTGCACCCGGGGCCCCCTTTCAACTTTCCCGCTATGGAAACCGTGGAACGTGCCTAAACGAGAATCCGATGCGACGGATCGACGCCCTGATAGACGCCGGGGCTTCACGTTTGGTTAGTCAGGAAGATTGAACCCGTCTTGGTACTACGGCTGGCTGGTTTAGTTCTATTTCTTGCCAGTCGGATGCTATCGTGGCGCTGCTTCGCGTTCTTCCTCGTAAACGCTTTTATATATTTTTCCTCGAACCACGCGATTTTTCTATTCATTTTTATTCAATTTCTGAATTTTTTTTATTTTAATTTTATTTTCATTCGTAGTAGGAATATATCGCGATATGAATGCTAGTGTATATATCTAATTGACAGGGTCAACATACTCGATTTTTATTTCTACTATAGTGCACTATCTATGATATTCGTATTTATTTTTATTCTTACAATTTTAAGTCCAATTTGCGTTTCTTTTATTTGCGATATTTTTATTTAAGGGTGAAATAGTGTGTTTTTAAAATGGTCTTTTATCCTCTAACGCAACGCGAGCGAGCGTTATTTGTTGTTCGAAAAGTGCATGACATGGTAAACAACGTAAGCTGATCTCGAGATTGCCTGTGTTTTCACTCGAGTTTCACATCATTGATAATCGATCGAGCTGTCTTGCGAAGGATTATGAAGAAAAATTCTTCAGACTGATCTCTAAGCAGGTTCTCGCCGAGAAGACCAAAAATCGATATTGGACGTGCTGTTCTCACGGGGCAATGTCCGCACGGGCAACAGGTTTCTGGTGTATTCTACTGCGACGAGTTCTTAAGTAGAATATCCCTGACTCTTTAGTAGTTCAGAATGTTTCTGACAGCCGCGAAGCACCTCCACTTGTCCGGTAGATAAAATGCCTCGAAGACGTGCGGGAAAGGACAGTCCCAGCCTGTGACCCTCTGTATCGGTGCTTCCAGGTACAGGAAACACTCCTCCTGTGTTGCAAACTCTCTTTTATTTCCAGTTTAGTGACAAAAATTTGATAAATTTTCAATTTTCAATTTTCTGCTAGGGTATCCTAGAATATGTCGCGCAGAGTTGATTACGCGATACCGACAAAGACGTAAATTACTGTCGACCACATTCCACGAAGAAATATTACCCCTAATGACGTTCCAATAACTTGAAAAAAGTTTCTAGGGAAAAATTTTGGAAGTCCAGGAAATCTGGTTATGCCTGGTGAATATTAAACGTGGCTCTGCATTAAAAATCCCGCCTTGATTACGATGACATTTCCATTATCCACGCCTTTCGATGGAGTTTCGAAACGCGCGATATTTTCTGGGACACCCTAATGACAGAGGTTATGCCGTTTTTAAAGAGCTCGCCGGCGTTTCGATATCCGACGAAACTTTTAATCAAAAGACAGCGTAAGTATTAGGTAGCAGAGCAGAGTACGAACCGCGCGAAATCGGAGTCTGAAAAGTATCCAAGCACATTGACACGGTTCCCAAGGTATCTGGACTAATCACCGTGATTACGCGTGTACGTATCGACTTTGTCATGTCTAACTGACAAACGCGATCGTATTATTAGGCGTGTGTTTGAATTACAAACGACCGAATCGAGCTATCCATTTGCTAATTTAGCGCTAGGATAGGAGTTTTGCAAGGCGGCGCGGTTTGTACATCTGAGCAAGCTGAAGCGTATCGAACCGTCACGAAGTGTGCGCATGACGTAACAGAAAATACGCGTAATCATATCCTGCCACATTCCGACGATGCATTCGACACGCATCTAATGGATTTTGGGCAGCTTAGACGCGCCGCGTGCAAATAATTTCGCAACTGGAATCTACTTAAAGTCCCATTTAATTAACAGCCGTGCTGAAACGTTGAACGTTTGCTCCGAGTATCCGCGAAGCACGGCTTAATTGCGCGCAGTTGTATCGTTGCTGGGATATTTTTCTGTTTTTTTCTCGTTTTCGGAATTTATTTCCGAGTAGATCAGACACGGATTCGAAGGTTTCGCTGAAGCAGTTTCGATCCATCTTCGCGTAATCGGTGATCGTGACGGCTCGACGGGGTTTGAATTTTCGCTGAAACGCGGCAATCAGAGCTTCGATTTTCCACGCGCTATTGTGTCGTCTATTTTCGAGGAAACATTTACCTGAACGATCGAAACTATTTCTGCTCCGAAGCCACTCGTTAGCGGCGCTTCATGGGCGATTACCACGCGGCCGGTCTTCTTCGCTGACTGCAACATTGCGTGTCATTATTAAAGCAAAATGGTCACGTGTAGATCGTCGATTGCGTAGCGTCACTCTGTCGACATAATTTCGCGAGAAATTTAATGGCTATGATAAATATGTAGGTAATAGGATATTGATTTAGTAACCTCGTTTAAATTCAGTTATTAGTGCGTCTGTTACAAGTATTAGGACATTAAGGTACACACACAGGGCCAAACTCTAAGTGGGAAATTTCAAAGCATCCAATACTATAGCGCATCGTTGTCAAATAAAAATATCATTAGCTGAGGACGATTATATAACACGAAATAAACCCCCCATTAACAAACAGAGACCAAACCTCGTTTAAATTTAGTTACTAATGCGTGTGTTACAAATATTAGGACATTAAAACATTTCCCAAACATTTCTGAAAAATGGCAATACCGATATAGCAACCCCTCATTAGCAAACAGAGACCAAAACTTCGCGTATAAAGGTTAAGAGCAGATTACAAAATTTCAAGATACTCTAACGGCATAATACGCCGTTACTGAGCAAAATCAATAATCCCCAGAAAACGATATCTAGTAATTTCCACCCACGATCCACGCTGACGCGTGTAATCCAACAGCCCACCCGTAACCCACGCGACAGTGTCTCCACCAGTGCCTTATTTCGTGAAAAAATAATCTCCACCGTCTCGCATCCTCTCCTCGCCTCTTTTGCCTCCGCGGATCGTCGAAAGTGCAATTACGAAATCCGCAATTAGACACTCGCAGTGGCCCCAGCGCGGCCCCGGTGCAAGAGCAGTCGCGGCCGTCCACGCTATCACGTGTCACGGATGGTAATTCGTTTGATAGAACGGACCGTTCCGCGGATCAATTCGTGAATGATTTATGCACCGTCCCATATCGGCCGGCGTAATAATAATTTATACGCGGGCCGGACGCTAAGCGATGCATTAATACAGCGTACGCTCCGCGGCCAGCGTCGAATCTAAAAGCGATCGACGTTAGAAACCAGGCTGGCCTGTAATTAAGACACGTAGGCACACGCGTGTATGTGCCCGTTGTAAATCATTCGAAACGGTAACTCGATAGCGAGTACGATTCCATAGAACGGCCGGCTGCAGGTTTCTGTGACATTTCAGATTTCAGATGACCTTACGCGCCGATCTCTCAAGCGGTGACCACCCTCGACGTTCCCTGGGTTCCACGACTGTCAATTTCGTGGAGAAATTTCGTTCGACGGGGGTGGATAAATAGAACAGCCAACTGTCGAAAATATATGTTTATCAGCGTTGAAAGACAACGTTGTACATTGTCACTTTTGTCCTAACACTTTGGCCTACAACCACGTGTGAGGCTCGTGGTCAGGATTGAGAGCCAAAATTGATTATCACGAGCCTGACACGTGCTACATCGGTCGGGTCGAAATTGACTATCACGGGTCTGGTACGTGGTACGTCGATCGGGCCAAATGTGAACACCACGTGTCACGCCCGTGGTTTGTTGGCGTGCCCCACTTCGATTATTAACATTTATTGTTTACTGTTTAATTTAATATATCGTTTAATTTTTAATCATTCGTTTGTTTTTAATTTTTCAGTCTTTCTTAATCTTAAATATACAACAATCAGAAATGAATCTACGACTGAACTGCGCGTCAAAAAAGGTTCTGAGATACGATGTAGTGTTCTTAATACCTTGACCTACCATTTAAGTTCCGATGACTCGTGTCATAGTCAACAGCGTCGCGACAGGCCTGAATGGGAATTTAAAACTTCGCTTTAGACTACTGCTAAAGTGAAGTCTTGATATTTGACGTATCACGCGCTAGATTCGAATACTGTTTGAGAAGAAGTTTATATTTATCTCTTAGCTTCTTTCTTGCAAAATTGCAAATGGAAATGTATAGTAGATGCGACAGAATTTCACTAGCTTTGCTAATGTGAGCATGCACGTAAAATATACGAGAATAGTTTCATCGCGATGTAACAAGTGGTTACAAAGATACTCCGATGTGTGATACGAGTGTGTAAATTACATATGCAGATAGGCTAAGATTGTCTGGCTTTAGCTGGAGCTCGAGAGATCGAATTAGGTATTATAGGTATTAGCAGGTGTATCGCTACCTTCACTTTTCAAAAGCAAGTTTCTGAATTAATGGAAATAGAGCGGATTTAAGAGGTACTTGTACGGTATTTCTTTTTCGGATTGGCTGGGTTCGTGATCGGTAGCAGTTCGAGATCAGAGATACTTCGATTATGCCTTATAACAGGATTAATCGATGGAACTAATTTCCTGACACGAGCCAGTGAATGCTAAAATCGGCATAGGAAAACGCAACAGATACGCAGCGGATATTTTATTCACCGTGTTCAGAAGCAAATTAGCACCAGGACTACCGATCTGTAACGTGTACCTAAGCATACCATACACAGAGACTAACAACTGATGTGGTATCTGCTAACTCATCAGAGTTCCATGTCAACACAGGTTTTTTAAAATCAGAAACAGTATAATATAAAATATTCTTTCAGTACAATAATGGAAATACGATCCATATTAGGATTTCTCATAATTTCATCCTCGACAAACTGGAAAATTTGAGCAAGTCAGACTATGTTGCACATAAAACCAGAAACAAACTTTAAGAACTCTATTTTTCATATAGAAAACACAATCGCTATCTAAAGAACAGTAATTTCCTTAACAAAATCTAAAACAACCAATCCGTTCGTTATTAATAACAGAAATATCGGTGCAACGTTAAATTAAAAAATAAAAAAAAATAAAGAAATGAAAATAAAATATTCGAAGTTAGCTACTTTGATTTATCTGGTTGTTGACACTATCTTTGGTAGCCATATGTCTAGTCCCAGTGTGCCATGGAATAAATAGTTTCCCAATGAGCAACGATCTACCACGTCCATCCAAAATTTTGTAGCGATTATAATTTTGACTAGAATGATTCCGACTTCAAGGAGGTTCGTGGACTTCCTCGTAAGTTCTCGGAAAACCTCCGCTTTCTATATATATATGTAACTTTCCGGCCTTCCAATAGTATCCTTGTCTAAAACAGGGTCTGCTAGAGAGCCTTACTGACGAGTCTACTAGCAGGCCCAGGACGAAACGCATCCCTTCCTTTTCCTTTCGTTCCTTCTAGCTACGCCACCACAACGAGGATACCTACGATCAGCCTACTTCAACAAACATGGGAGAAGGACCTCCTACAGTTTCAAATCTCTAATTTCCCATACCATAAAACCTCTTAAAATAAACTTCGAGATCTCATTATAAGAACAGCGTTTGGTCACTGTCCCTGTGGCTACCCAAGCGTCTATCCTAACCTCAAAAAGCACCTCGCTGCTTGCCAGCTCGCAATTACGAGGAGGTGACAAGCAAGATAAACTCCAACGTAGCCTTTTAATCGGTTCGTTCGGCGAAGGAACGAAGAACCTCGGTCTTAACTCTTCTGGCCCCGAGGAATCTCATTGCTGGGCCTTTTCTTGCCGATATGGGCTGAAGCCATCCAGCGGAACAGGCCTGCCGCCATAACATTATATCCAAGATACATTACCCTCATCCCACCGCGTCCTCTCCGCGAACAAGCTCAATAAACAAGAGTGAAATGAAATGAAATTCCACGGGGCCACTCGAAGCTTATCATCCGGAATTCTGCGAGGTCCAGCTCCCTTGGACTCCCCTCGCACCGGTTGTCAAAACCGCGGATTCCAAGGGCCCTAGGGGTGTCCCGTGTGCCTCGGCCGACTTTATCGCGAGTGGATCTCGCGACAAATATCATCGACACCGGGAATCCGTGAACGTATCGAAATTACGCGAAACGGGTTTCCAATTACGCTCTCGCGACCTAGCACGCCGCGGCTCGCGTGTGCGCTCACAGGTATAATACCGCGACACACGAGCCGCCTGTGCATACCGTACAATCGGCATATCATTAAACTAAAGATCGATTAGCATAAATCAGCGCGATATTAGCGGCGTATCGTAATTCGGACGAGTGAATGTTGCCGTGGTTCGAGCCGGCGCGACAACGCGACGTTTAGCATTTCGATAACGAATGGAGAAACCAGCCGCGAAATTCGTTTCAACGCGTGTCATTCGCACGAGAGTCGTCCATTACGAGTGGCTAGATTTTTGGAAATTTTCTGTCGCTGTATTTTACTTCACAGAGACGCTGCTGACAGGCCTGTCAATATTATGGCTGGCGCGATTTTTGACTCGAGGTAAGAAGTCGCGATCAATTATCATTTTTCCCATCGAAAACGAATAAACATGGTGGTTATGGAGGACTAAATCAATATCGTCGGTGTAGTCTATGAGAATTATCGCTTACATGATTTGGGAGAGGGAGCCTAATGAATTACAGGTTTCTCGTTTAGAAACGAGAAAATTGCAATTATAGAGAGGAAAATTAATTGTCAAATTTATCTACAGCAGAGGATTTCAATCTTTCTTACCTTGATTATTTATTATAAAATATCTATTTTTGATAATGCGGAATAAGGAAGGAAGAATCCGTATCATATAATTTTTTGATCGATTGACGACAGGAAAAGGTAAGAATGGTAATAATTGTGCCATTTGCGAGACAATTGTAAGAAAATTAATTCCAATTTTTGAATTTTTTATATTAGCCTAAAATTTGTTAATTTAAATTATAAGATCCGTGCCCATTCTTCTTCGCAAGGATTATTTCCACTGTTGAAATTAACCCGAGACAACGCAACGCGAACTCCAGCATTTTTCTTTAAAGGCAAACGAAATTCCATTTATGGGGGTTAAATAAACGCGACAATATGGCGCCTGGCGTTCGAATGTTAATCGAATAGGTAAACTCCCGGTGAAATGCCAGCGTCGAAATGGAATAATTCGGCCAAACGAGCGTTTACTTTCATTGGAAAAGTCGAATGCACGCGACAACGCGGCGTTTAGCATTTAGATGGCAGACAAATGAGCGAACGCTCCGGCTCGGTGGATACCGGCGATGAAATCGAATGGTTCGTAATTATGATATTATTTCTGGATTCGCGTGGAATAGATAAACGGAGAGAGAGGCCGTGGATGAGGGCTTAATAAGCCGGTAATCGAAAGAGAGAGGCGATAAAACAGCGACGATCGCGGTGGATTATCCGCGGCGGTACCGATTTCGCAAATAAAAATAGACGCGAGCGCGTTTATCTGCGTTTCGCAATTATTTCGCAAGGTTGTTCCACGGCGAGAGAGAAAGAGGAGTAACGCTTGAACTTTTTCCGACGAATTTCGAAAGCTTCGCATCGAGAGCCAGACTCTCGACGGGGTTTCGAAATTGTCCGAGAAGAAAGGGTTCATCTGTGTAGATGATTGTGGATCGTCTAGGAAAAGCCGGATTCTAGTCTTTTTTCGCATCACGTGTCGAGTAATGCTGTAATTATTTCGCCATTGGATCGCGGCTCGATGAATAATGGTTGCGTCTCGATAACGGGAGAACGAGAAATTCGCTTTCTTCGCGTGTAACGCTGGATAACTGTGTGACAGGAGGTCAGCTGGATAAGTAAACCGAATTCAAAGCGAATCTCGAAATTCGCGGCATGCAACAAGGTTTGACGTTTAAATTAAATTTATTATTCCATTCGTTGAGTATGGGAGACTTAAGAGGATTCTCCACTGAACTCACTAGCGCCACCGCGACCCGTATCTCCGGTGGATCTCCTATAAATCTCGTACATACAGTTCGTAGGAATAATTTCCTAATTTTATTGCTTGGAAACGCTACTCAAAATATTTTTCTAATCCGTATCCGAGGTATCCAAACTATAATAAGCATAATTGCAACACAACGGTCGTCGCCTGTTTTAAATTCCTCCTATCGCGAATATCGACCCACGCGAAAAAGGAACCACGAGAGAATACAAAAAGGAGAAAATTGCAAAAATTGGCGAAATAAATCCTCAGCTCCTCGAGCAGTACCCCGAGCGAAACTGCTTTCCATGAACGAATCGTGCGATTAAAATACCACGAATCTCCTCTCTCTCCCTTTCTCTCGCTCTCTCTTTCTCCCTCCCTTCCTCTGTCTCCCTCTTCCTCTTATTTCCACGAAGGACACGAGCCCACGTAATAGCCGCGCAAACGTAACAGTTGCGCTTTTGAACGTAACGCATGCAAACGACCCGGTTGCGTTAAGCGCGACGGCGAAAAGGAAAAAAGGGCGGGAGATAAAAAGGAAAAGAGGCGGGAAAAAAGTAGGAAAGAAGTGGAAAAGAAAACGGGGCGAATTGTAATGACGAAATTACCTTGCAAACGAGTTCCGTGTCCCAAGGCAGGATAGAAACGAGGTCTATCACCTCGCAGGACGCCCCGAGCTCCTCCTGGACGAGATCGGCCACCTCCAGCAGTACGTGCACCTGAGTGCCCCAGCCCACGAGTGTCACCGCGTCACCTACGTGCAAATCCACACACCTGTACACCGATTGCCTCGTTTCACCTTACGCCTCTCGCAATTACCCTCGTTCGCGCGAATATCCTGTTTCAGGAGACCGGTCATCGCGTGCGACCATCGGCTAATGAAAGGACGATCGCGACCGATGAATACCGAGTGTCCCACATTTTTCCGCGGACCAAATTTCGCGGACCAGAGAATTCGCGGGGTACGTCGATCCGGATTCTCTGCAAATCTCTGCGAGAGAAGTTGGACAGTGGAGGACTGTTGCATGAAGGCAAGTAGACGACATATTGCAAGTGTTAGTGAGTTTTTGGTAGCTTGGAAGTATGATAGTACGATGTACAATGTGTTTCATTTAAATGGATAGAAGAATTTTGTAAATAACCGATCGATTTTTGGGCAATTTTCGCTGTAATATGTGGAGATAGGAAATACTGAAAGACGAGCTAAAATGTGAAGAAATGTATTAATGCCATTTTATTGTTTCTAAATTGCTTGTTATGAGGCTTTCTATTGGGTTGGTGTAAATGAAACGCCCTATATGACAGGAATTTAAATATTATTCCTGTATTCCTGTTAGTTTGTATGAAATTGTAGAAGGACTACTTCTTCATGGAAAAAATTTTTAAATATTGCAATGGACGATATTTTGTCACTTTTAGTTTCTGAGATATTCATAGAAAATTTTTTAAGAAGCCATTTTTAATAGTCTTTCAACAAGTTCGCTGTTTATTTTAATTTTCCTGTTACTTTGTGTCAATTTTTAAATCCAAAGCCTATGTTTTATCAGTAAATTTATTATAAAGAGTAAAATTTAAAATTTATCAATTTTTGAGCTTCCGCGATGGTATAATCGCTTGCTTATGAGGCTTTATGTTAGGTTCGTGTAAATGGAACGCCCTGTACGACAGGAATTTAAATATTATTCCTGTATTCGTGTTAGTTTATATGAAATTGTAAAAGGACTACTTCTTCGTGGAAAAATATTGTTAAATATTGCAATGGACGTCATTTTGTCACTTTTAGTTTATAAAATACGTGTAGAAAATGCCTTTAAAAGCTATTTTTAATGCTCTTTCGACAAGTTTGCTATTTATTTTAATCTTCGTATTATTTTATGTAAATTTTTTAATCCGAAGCTTAGATTTCACCAATAAATTTATTATAATTAATAAAATCTAGAATCTATCAATTTTTGGACTTTTGCTATGATATAAATCTACACTCTGTTCACAAATAATTAATTCCGAGCATCGATTACAGTTACTATGGAACTATCTCTATATTCTAGAGGAATTTATAGTAATTGTAATTTAAAAATTGGTTCCTATAAATATTCCTCGAAATTTCGTGTCAGTTACCAACTCCCTTTGACCATAACTTAATACCGGTAATGGTCCATTGCATTGTTTGTTCAAGAAACGGTGCGAGTAAAAGTACAGTGCGTTACTATTGGCATGTTCATGATACGGATCTGCACCCAACCGTGCATGTGTATATCTCTGTCGAGAGATTTTCCACGCGTTGACACGTGTTATTAGACGTGCAAGAAATGAGAAAATATGAAATTCGATATGTTCGTAACGGAATCGCAATGGCAGCTGTAATGGCGGCCAAGTGCAGCGTAACGAAAGGGTTAATACGCGTGGTGAACCGGCGCGGAGAAGTTGATTGATTCGTTGGAGCGGGAAGAAAGTCAAAAATCAGCTTAGCGGAGTAGTAAATTCAGGATTTTATTGCCGACAGGCTTGCGTCGACAGGAACGGCGACCGTTTTCAATCGTTATTAAGTATTAACAGACAGTGATTACATTGATCGTCAACCTATTCTTGCCTTGCGTCACGGTGACCGCAAGTCTGTTACCGTTCTCTCGATACCTTGGACGAAATATATTTAAATAATATTTCTATACATTTCCTTTTTATTTATATCGATCAGATATATTGACAAAATTCGGTTAAGAAGTTGGAAGAATTATTACGAATTTATATGCACGTGTGGAGGAAGTGAGAGTGCATGTGAACAAGGGATGGCGCGAATTAACGAAGCGATAGCGTGAAGTGATCTTAGGATCTATATGATTCATGATATTGCATTAAGAATTATTAGTTTACGTTGCAGAACGAAAATAATCGTGAAGAGAAAATATATTTCGTCAATTTATTGTTAATATAATTTTTAAAGTTAATGTAACTTTTTAATGCGAAGCTTCGAATTACTCTATATGTATAATGTCATAATTTTGGTTCATTTATGTCAATAACATATATATATCAAGTTGGACTAAAAAGATGGCGAGATTACAACTTTTGCAAAAATCGCAAAGAGAATTTCGTAGAGAAAAAATATTTCCTCAATTTATTGTTAATATAATTTTATCATAATGTAATTACAGAAAGTTAATATAATTTTTAATGCGAAGCTTCGAATTACCCTATATGTACAATGTAATAATTTTGGTTCACTTATGTCAATAATATACATATATCAAGTTTGGTTAAAAAGATGGCGAGATTGCAACTTTCGTAAAAGTCGCAAAGAGAATTTCGTGAAGAGAAAATATTTCCTCAATTTATTGATATAATTTTATCGTAATGAAATTATAAAAAGTTAATGTAACTTTTTAATTAAAGCTTCGAATTACTCTATGTGTATGTAATAATTTTGGTTTATTTATATCGCTAATATATATATCAAGTTTCTCTAAAAAGATGGCGAGATAGTAGCTTTCTAATGGAGCTTCGAGTGTCTTATGTTTACATAACATTTTTATCTCGGATATATAAATAGAACGTATGAAGAAAGTTTAATAAACTGGAAAATTTTATGATCTTGACGGATCAATTGCCTCTGTGCTTTTAATCAGTGCCCCAGATTAATATCGTTCTACAAGGTGTGGTAGATAGGTATTGTCAAGAGCCTGACAGATCGAATGACTTAATCGTGTTGGTTTATTGATTGGTGGTTACGAAAGGTGAGCATGAAAGGCAGATAAACACTGCTCGGTTTCGAGTGGAAGACACTTAAATAGTTGCAATTCGGGATTGGTTAAGGAGAGACCTGCTTCAGTGACGTAATTTACGCGTCGATCGTGCTTGAATCGTGTTTGGAACACAAACTCGCGAAAAAACGACTCCGTGAAAATTTCATTCACGAATTTATCTGCGCAGGCAAACGAAACTGTCAATCTTGCCAATACTCCATGCAATCGAACTAATCCAGAACCGCGAAAGCTTGCACTCCCAAACGATTCAAGAACCGATCACGAAACTCGACGAAGTCAAGAAAAATGAGGACAAGGAGAAAAGAAACGAGAAAATGAGACAAAATGGCGGATCGAGAAAATAGGAATCGTGGAACGACCCGAGATCGCTTGGCTCGCGGGCCAAAAATGGCGCCAATCGTCGATCATATCGAATCCGATCGCATGGAATTAACGGTTCACGAGCGTGTGACGAATTATTCATCCGGAGAATTAGCTGTTGACGATACGTAACGACGTAAATCCTCGTTGCTCGGGAAAGTTGGATCGGCGATAGATCGCGATCGGCGAGGACGCGCGGAAAAGAAATGGCGGCCGACGCGTAAGAGGACGATGAGACGTGATGCACGGACGACATTGTTACGCAGCCGCGAAGTGAAACCTATCCAGGATAAGTGTTCCTGTACTCCTACCTTCTCTCACAACCTCAGCCTTGCCGATCTCTATCTTGTAGTGCGCTGTCGGCACGTCGTCGATCGCCGTGCGGTAGAGTATTTTCGGCTCGAACATGATGCAGGGATCCGGTTCCTCTATGCAGCTCAACAAAAGACCTTTCGCCTGTTTCGCTCCGCGGGGCATAACGATCTGAAAAGGACGTTCGGTTACATTTCATTACACTGCACGCCGGCCGTGTACACGCAATCGGCGATTACGTCCTGGAATTCGGGGACGAGCGACCTTATCCTGTTCGAAAGTCTCGATGCCGAGATTAAGCTTCGTGTGTATGCGTGTACGAGGAAAACGGGATTTTTTTCCATGACGCAACACGCGTCCTGGTCTGTTTTCGTTTTAGAGAGCGGCCTTGGCGGCTATCGCGCAGGACTCTAAGGATTTTGGCGCGAGAAAGTTCGAAATTTGAAAATTGCAAGTCGGAAAGTCGCAATTTACGATACTTCGTATACGAGTCTTTGTAAAATTAGTATCTTCCAGTTATGTGATCCTTCGGTACGCGTATTGCGAATATACCGAGACAATTAAGCGCGAAAAAGTTCGAAATTTGAAAATTGCAAGTCGGAAAATCGGAATTTTCGATATTTCGTATAAGAGTCTTCGTAAAATTAGTATCTTCCAGTTCTGTGATCCTTCGGTACGCGTATTACGGGTATAGCGAGAGAAGTAAACGCGTCGGATATGGGAAATATTTTTCTCGGATCGTGGTTTATAGATTCTCGATAACTCGGGGATCGATCCATGAATAAACGCTGCAAAGAAATTCGAAGGACTAAAGTGAAGGAATGAAATGACCCTGTGACAGGGCCACCTCGTACGGTTTTCCTTGGAGACGTCCATCAAAGCGTCCCTACCATTACCGTCAGTCGGATGCACGTTAAAGCACAAAGCTTTCTGCGCCAGTGTAATTACAGCGGGACAGAAAACTCGTTAAATTTCCGTACGAAATATTTCACAGCGTATTTCCATTCCATCGAGGTATAAATTGAATATATTCCTTAAAACCTTCCACCTCGAATATTTACTCCTTTTTTTTTTTTTTCAAAAGACAAAACTATCTCTTGTAAAAAATATTCTGTCAAATTTTATTACCGTCCTGCATCATTCCCGATGATACAAAAATATCGCGGAAAAGCGATGGCACGTTGGATGACTCGGGAAAAAAATACGAGACAACGTGCACTTTGGGTAATGAAATACAAAGTTCGATAAAAATATTGCGCGAAATATCGAGCGGTGGAATATTCGCATGGATACGTACGTTTCATTGCGTTCAAGCTTCGTTTCCACGGTTGGTATATCGTGTCAAAGAGCGCGACGAAGAGCGTGCGATCTCTCGGCTTCAGGAAATGTCGACGCGATGTTGCGCACCGCTGTTCATGTAATCGAGATGTATAGTGTCGGTAGCGGCGCGTTAGTGTACGAGGAAAACTTTCCTCATGCATACGTAGAGTATATGTGTCGTGCAATATTCATGGAATCTCTTCCAGAAAGTTAAGAGCCAACGGCTATAGAACCGAAGCGAAGCCGAAGGATATCCTTGAGTATAGAAATTCGTTCTGGATGCTCGTTCAAGTTTTTCCACTGTCTTTGTTTATTCGTAGAGCGTCTGTTACGCGATCGTTTAGTTTCCAATTCGATCGTAGATGAACGTCTGACGATTACGAATAGCAATTTGCGAAACGTTTCGTTGGAAATTAAAATTGAAATAAAATTAAGAAATAAAAGAGAGGCAATTCGGTACGGGAGAAAGAATTACTAGTTACTGTTACGAAAACGATGATGATGCGAAGTGATCAGTCTGAATCGATCTATTGTGTCCAGTGAATCAATAGCCGATTGCATATGGTACGACCATCTATCGGAGAATGAGTAAAATAAGTATTATCGACGAAAATTAAAGAGTAGTTATAATTGGGTTTCGTTCGTATACGTCCTACCTTATCGTCCATCGTCTAACCTGCGCGCGCATTGCTAACTTACCAACTTGTCCAAATTAATTGCATAAAATTTCTTTTTATTATTAGTGCAATTTTAATTTTAATTTTTATCAAGATTATTTTGTACTGTATTTAAATTAATTATTCCTGTGCATGATATCTCATCAGCAGTTTTAGATTTGGACTTGAGTTTTAGATTTTTAAATAAATTGTAAATGACTCGCGTATTCTGTAGTAACAATTTCGATTTTTAACATAAAAGGAAATATGTAGTTTCAGGTTCTTAGAATATAAACCCCTTCTCTTTTCTATTTTTTTCAAATAAAATTAAATTATGTAACGCCTGTGTTATAAATTTGCAAATCTGTAAATTAAATTTGTCACCTATTAATTAGCAATAAAATCAACCAATCAACGTCGACGTTCTTGTTGTTCCTAATGCGAACCCCGTAGCAATTTAGTGAAGCGCGGAATCTTTATACGGAATATGTCGTCGTACTCTATTGTGCAATTTTGTGTGAATTTTGAACAATTTTGAGTGGTTTGGTGCAATGTTCTGTTACAAGTGCCTCGTCTGCGTACCGAGAAACCATACATTTCCTCGTCTAGCTGGGTTATTAGTGATAAGGTAAGAATTTCTATCTAATTTTCTAGACTACGACATTTGCGCGCCATTACTGCGTCACAATGTTCCAAAATGAGATGAGAAATTTTCTTTTCGTTGATAAGTAACATATTACCGTCGTTCGATTCCAAAGATTACGATATTAAATTAATATGCGAGGTTACGATTTTCGTAAAATTACGAGAGCACGTAGAGTATCGAAGTATTGGAACACGTTAGCGTAATGAAATAATGGAAAATATCATCTTATTATTCTAAATTACCTTCAATCCTGGGGTATGAGAGAAATAAGCTTCTGGACTTTGCGAATGGTAAAGTCCACCATGACCGACAGCACCACAGGGTGTTCGAACTGTCAATTTTCCACAATTGAATTCACCTCCGCTTCGATATCTCACTTTAGCTGCTTCATTTACCAGCTGTAGATAACATCGTTTAAGACAGACAAGTTTTAATTAATTTTTTAATAAAATTTTAATAATAGGCAAAATTTCTTTGCGGAAATAGCGATTCTGAACACGTAAAAATAAATGATCGATGTTTTCGACAATAGCAGTACCTGGTCGAAGGCGGGAAATATGTAATCGGCGAACTGAATTTCTGCAATGGCTGTCATACCAGCAGTAGCTAAACCAATTCCAAATCCAGCGATTCCTTGTTCGCAAAGTGGCGTGTTAAATACTCGATTTCGTCCAAATTCGTTTTGCAAATCCATCGTACAACGAAATACTCCTCCAAATGCAACGTCTTCGCCAAATATCACTAAATGCAGAAAAATAATTATAACAATTTTCACGAAAAAAAATCTCTTCTAATATAAACAAGTATTCTTTACCTATTACTATTACGCATATTATTCACTCTAAAAAGATAAGATACTCGTATTTTTGAAAACAATGATTTTTAATAAGCGATTAGCAACATTCACGTAGCAAGTAATACAAATATTTTAATTTCGTCAAGTGTTCAATATTAAAAATTCGAAAATTTCTATTACCTGCATCGGGATTTTTGGACAATGCAATTCGTAATGCATTATTTATTGCTTGAAACATGTTCATCTTCTCGGTTTCACCTGAAACAAAATTAAACAATTACTAATTGTTATTTAACCCTATCTATTAATATTTTTTTCCAAAAAAATTTTTTTTTTTTTATTTAATTTTTACAAATTTGCAAATACACGATCCTCCTTTTCCAAGTTACTTAAAAATATTTTCTATATTACGACTTTATCCACAACGTGTAATTACGTACCTTTACGTAGTTTTATAATTTCAATCGACTGGGGGTCAAGAATCATTTATTGCGAAACGAGTGTACTTACCGGGAACACTGTTGTTCTTGTCGGTATAATACGTGAACTGTATCCACCTGACATGCTCGCGTAGCACTGATCTGTTTACCAATTTGAAAACCGGAGACGAGCAAGCGTGCAGTAGCCGCGTAGATAATTTACTGAGTACCATCGTGGTGGAATGACTACCGAAAGCGTATGGCAATAAATAAAATGAGTGAGCCTTAATCTTTTTATCGAAATTTACATACAATATCCTATTTTAAAATACACGGGACCTCCTGCTCGATACGACGTATGTGTCGTATGTGTTCATATCACGTGATATAAGTAGGAGCAGTATGGGAGCGTATATACGTAATTATACATGTTTTCAAGTTACTTTCGAGAAACTCTCCCTACCGAGTCCACTAGTATTTCTTTTCAACATTATCTAATTGTATAGCTACATCCGACTATATGTGTCATAGAGAGACACTATACAGGCTATGATAAGAATATGAATGTGAAAGTAGGTGCACAGGAAATTGTTGCGAAACATACATTTTATGTATATATCCTCTGTCGAATTTTAATAAATAAAATAAATGGTTATAGTAAGTTAATAGGATAAAGAAAGTAGCTATTATTGATTTTTTGGTATATCAGTGACTGAATTAGGTGGATTCTGTAGGCGGTTATTTTGTTTCTAGGGAACGTGGTTCGATAATATTTGGATTGACGTAATGATCTTGCACCATGCTATTGCATCATCTGCGAGTTGTTATTGAGACTATCGTGGATGTTTACTTTCGGTTCAAAGGTCGAAATGATGAACAGATTTTCTTGTGAAAATTGAAATTTGAAAAGAAAAAATGATACTTATGGAATTTCGAATATAAGAATTGATGGAAGTGTGTAATTATTAAGTCGTTTCGTATTAATTATATATATATGATAATAAAGATTTCACGTAAAGAGTTATGTCATATATAAGAGTGGTAGAAAATGTTCCAGAAGTATTTCGAATATTCCGTGATACTTGATTTTAAGTGGCACCTTTGTTCCTGTAATTTATGTCAATATGAAACGACTCAGTCATTGTATCGTTTAGTGTTAATTTACCAAGTTACCGCTAGATGTAGGGACGGATGCTCCAAACAGAGTTTCCATGGCAACCAGTGACAAGCGTCGTTTGTGTATTTCAAAGCTGACAATAGTGGGGTTATATTAGTGGTAATTTACTAATTATCGTGAAAAATGGGTCGTTCCGACTGGGATCGAATATTATCAGCAGATCCATCGTCATTAACTGACGATGACATGGAGGATCTTTATCCTGCTATGATCAGTTGCGACGTTGATGAGATTAGTGATGTACATAACCTACGAACTTTGATGAAACTATCCCAAGAAATACTACAGTACAAAGATAGTCAAGTAAAATTTATTATTCAACACTTTTATTTGTACCAGCTATTCGTAGAATGTCTTCACTGTTATTTATCCAATTTCTTACTCGATAAAAGACAGTACTCTTTCTTCTTTTATACCTGTATATTTTCTATTGAAAATTAATAATTAGTATCTGAATATGATCTGAAATGTATCTGTCTAACAGGTAGAGTCGCTACTGTTAGAATGTAGTGAATTAAAACAGACAATCTCTTCTTTGAAACCTGAACCTGCTAAGCGAAAAAAGAAAGGTAAACTGTGTGATATATTTGGAACGAGGTTTAGGTCAAGCAGCACTTTGCTAACGAATTATAATTGATGTTATTGTAAATATGTTTTGTTTTGAATGATAGAATGGGATACACCTGAGTCAAAACGTGGAACCACTGATTTATCTACAGTAAGATATCCTATCAATTTTGTCACAAAGGTATATTTATAATACCTTTATAAATCTATCTTTATTATTTGTTTTAAGCATGTAGACATGCCAGAATCCACTGAATATGACGATGCTTTGCAAGGGAAAAATAGAAAGATCAAAATCCTTATGACAGAATTAGAGGTGAGTTCTAAAATGTAGGAAATTATTGCAGAATTTTCAGCTCACATTCTTGTAATTCTTTAGACTTTAGAAAGGGACAATGTAGTTTTAAAAGAACGGTTAATAACATTATCTCAAGAAATGGAGGATGCAACGCACAAAATGAACGAAATGGCAGAAGATCTAAGTTCTGCTCAAATTAAATCTGTCGAATATAAAGGTTATTGAACTAAAAATATGATTGATCAAATTATAAACACGCACAGTTCTGCAGTCAAATTGAAAGGACATATTATTTTCAGAAAAGATATCTGAGTTAGAACGTGAAAATAGAGCATTAGTTACACAAGTTGAGGAAGTAACAGCTCAGCAAATAGATAGAGATAAAGTAATAGATGAATTTGGTGCAGCAATTGATACTAGAATTAACGAATGGAAGGTACATGCAGCATTAAACGAGATTAACCCCTTGCCTTACCATTTAACTTTCAATGGCACATGCCATAGTCAACAGCAAGGTCGAGACACGACGAGTCACTTGGTCTGAACGCGGCAGAAAATAGTGCACTACTGAGATAGAAAGTCACCGACGAAAACGAACCACGAGCTTAACTCGTGATATTTAAGTTGGGCCCTATCTACGAACCGGCTCTCGCCCGTGATAATCGTGTTTGGCCCGACTTCCTTACCACGAGTCTCACACGATATTATAGGGGAAGGGGTTAATCAAAATTATTCGAAATTACTTCGAATAAAAATTATGTAATTTTACACGCGCTTTAATTTATTCACGATATTTATTAGGCAATATTAGATGAAAAAGATGAAGAAATTTTGCAGTTAAGAGAAAATTTATCCGAATCAGTTGTACAGTCTATAACCACTGCTAAAGAGCAAAGTAAATCCGAAATTATTTATTTAAACGAGCAGATAGACCATCGTGACAAAATCATAATTGAATTAAAGACAAAGCTATCGGAGGCCACGGTCGAAATCAACGAAAGTGCGACCCTTATAGAAAAATTAAAAACAGATGCACAGAAGTATGTTCATGATCGTACTTAAAAAGAATAAAGACATTAGTAATCCGATTCAAAGTTAAAATTTCATTAATATTTCCTTCAGGATGAAAAAGACCGATAAGAAGAAGGAACACAGAGATTTGTTAAAAAAATTACAAGATGCGAACGAGCAATTATCGAAATTGCAAGTTAAGTTGAACGAAGCAGAGGAAGACGCTGAATTAAGGAGTAGCAAAGTCAGTTTATTAGGTATATTTCATAAAGAACGCTTTATATTTATAAAATATCATAATTTCTTTAGTTATGCGAGGTATTAGCGACGTTAAAAAGGTACGAAGACGAAAATCAAGGTTTAGCAGACGCTCTGAACGAAATAAAAGATCTGAAAAATACTCTGGGGAAAAAGAACGAGCACGTAAGGGATTTAATTAACGTCGTGAACAAATTAGAAACGTTGAATTCGTATCAGGAAATGGAGATTATAACTCTTAGGTAATTATGCGTTCATCGTATCCTCTGAAACTCTTCTCTTCTCACGTGTGCTAATAATACGAACTGTAGGTGGGAAAAATTAGGTATACCGGAAGACGAATCAGTATCGATCGAACACGCTTTAGCAAAACGTAAAGCGCAGGAAAAGAAATTGGAAGAGCTTTTACAGCAGAATAAATTATTGATCGAGGAAAACCTAGAACTAAATTCAGACGTAAGAGCTATTAATATTTATGCCATTAAATAAAATAAATAAATAAAATTTAGATTTGCAATATTAATTAATAAGGATTTAATTTTTCGACAATTTCTGTCGATTAATCCGAAGATATATTTTTTTCTTGGAATATTGAAATATTCCAGATGAGGGTATTAAAGTACAGATTAAGCACAGCATCGAAAGAATTAGATTTTCCGGATACCGCGATAGACGGTACTCCGGAATTTTTACATTCGACCAAATTGGCAGAATCCACTCCTATCTGGCATTCCAAAATAAGTACTTCGGAACTGCAGGAAAACATGCAGTTGATTATCGACGAGAACGAAGCACTTAGAACAGGAATGCACGAAATTTTGGACAGTATTCGGAACCAAGATGGTGAATTTTCGCTAATTTAATGGTACTTCAACGATGCACGAGTTTTTCCTTCTTTTCACGAGAAATTCCTCTTCCATTCTCTCTTCTTCCGATTTTTAACTTTAATAACACACGTGAACTATCGAACACACGTATACTAAACACGTTTGTAAATTGTATTAGGTTTCTCACCGAAGAAAGAAAATTCTTCGTTACCTTCTTATCGATGTACATATACATAAATTAGCCTGGTAATAATTATTTAATATCTCAGGAAAAAGCACGGTGGAAATACAGTCTAGTACGTTAGAAAGATTGTTAGAAGCGTTAGATGTGAGACATTTAGCAGGCTGGTATCATCCCGCGATGAGATTGCAGGAGCACCTAAACGTTGTGCAGGGTAGCAATGCCGAGTTAAGGAGTCAAGTTAAGCAACTCAGGTACAGTTTGAATCCTCGTCACTGAAATTCGTCGTAATATAATTCGCGAAACGTATAATTACAGAAAAGAATTGCAAAGGAAAGAGAACGCGTTGCACAAACTAGTTTCGAACAAGTACGGCGACCTTGAGAATATTTACGCCGAAGAATCCGACAGCGAGAAGATAACGACGTATCTCTCTGAAATGAAGAATTTGCAAGAGGCTTATAAGAATGAGACGAACGAATGGGAAAAGCAGAAGATTTCGTTGATAGAACAAAACGACGAGCTCAGGAACGAGATCGAGAAGTTGAAGCTTCAGCTGGATGTTTACGAGCAGAGTGCAAAGATACTTGAAGAAAGCGAAGACGAGATTCGAAAAGCTTTCGTGATTAGAACCAAAGAGTACGCCGAGGTTTCCAGCGAAGCTCTCGTTGCGAGCAGGAAATACGTAGCTCTTCAGCAGCTGTTAAACAGAGAAACCACGAAGGCTTATCAGGATCAGAAGGAGGCTATAAGAAACGAGAGCTATTTGAGCAGAGCATTGGCCGATTCTAATAAGCATAATAAAATTCTCGAACGAGAGGTCTCGATACTGCAGAGCAATTTGTTCAATTCTGTCAGCTGCGCCGTTTATACCGAGCTGAAGGAAAAGCACGAGGAGTTAAGTATACGTTTTCGTAATTTATTGGAAAATAATTTGATATTGGGGAACGATAACGAGATACAGAACCTGAGGAAAGAACTGGAACTGACGAGACAAGAAAAGGATCAGCTCATGCAGCATCTGCAGAAAGAAATGCACTGCAAAGACGATCAAGATTTAACGGGGAAATTGAAGGAAGCTCAGGCGAAGGAACTTCTAGAAAAGCAACGAGCTGATCACGTGACCAGCC